CGTTTTTTTTTCCTTTTTTTCGTAAGCCATTTTTATCTCGATCTGTTTCTAACTGAACTGTTTTTCTTCTGTATTATTGTTTTTTTTTTAAAAAAACAACAACAAAAAACTGAAGACTGTGGTTAAAAATATTAAAAGACTGAACACCTGCAGTTTTAAATGGTTTTCAGCTCATCCTAACCTTTGGATTTGTTCACAAAGGTAAATCAGCTCCTGGACAAAACAGGAAGAAATACACCAACTTGCATTTCAAGTTTTTTTTTTTTTTTCAAACCTGGAGGGCCTTATTAACACCCCTCTGCCTCTAAAACGCCCGTACACCCAATGTTCCTGCTTTATATTTTCTGTAAAAAATTCTTGGCTTGTCACCGTTTTTCTATTCTGGCAGTTTGCACACAAAGCATGATCTCAGCGCAGGATGTTCCTACTGGCATTTTACACCCAGCCAAAAGCTATTTCCCTTCCTTCTCTGTTCTGCAAAGCAGTAAACAAAACAGAAAATTGCCCACACATAACTGGCTTTCTTTTTTTTTAATAGTCCCTGGCTTGACAAATTCCAAATTCAAAACAAAGGCTTTTAGCCCGTGCAAAGCCAACTAACTACTGCTCTCAAGAACTGGAGAAAAAATCTAATTATTATTGCCTTGCCTTTAACATGGAGAAACAGCAACTTAAGATTTAAGTGAGGGTCTAAGAGGGGGGAAAAAAACAGAGGGGTGGGTGGGAGAAGAGGAAGATCAAGGAGGAAGGAACAGAGGCAAAGACCTTTTAAAAGCAACAGGCTCTTTTGTTGAAACTGCTGAAGCGGGTAGGACTTGCTAAGCAAGGCATAATTCTAATTTTAAAAAACCACTCCACGGCCATACTTTCGATTTTAAATGACTTTGAAAAAGTAGAGTGTCAGACTTAAGTCCTTAAATGTATTTCTTAGTCCTCAACTTATTGTCAAAGCTGAGCCCAAAATTTATGTTGCTAAGCGAAACATTTGTTAAAGGAGTTTTGCCCCACAACCTGGCTTGCCCTAATTCTTAAGCGAATCGCTGCAGTTGTTAACATTAGTAAAACAATATTGTTAAGTGAAAGTGGCTCCCCCCCATGGACTTTGCTTGTCAAAAGATCGCAAAAGGGGATCACGTGACCCGATACACTGCCACTGTCATAAATATGAGTTAGTTGCCAAATGTTTGAATTTTTGATCACGTGACCACGGGGAGGCCGCAACGGTCGTAAGCGTGAGAAATGGACATGTCACTTTTTTCACTGCAAGTTTGAACAGTCACTAAACGAACGCTTGTTAAGTTGAGGTCCACTTGTAGAGTGTTGGAAAGGAAGAAGAAATGTAAAATTTCTTTCTCAAAGATTAGGGTGTCATTTGAACCCATCACTCTCTGAGATGGGACACAGTCCACCATCTCCACCTTAGGACTGACTCTGCCTTGAGAACCATCGTCAGATGGATAGATTTTATTTTCCCCAGATCCAGCTTTTGATTAAAATTTCCCTGGAACAGAAATTCGAGAGAATTGCAAAAACACGGACACGTTTTCCACGGGGGGGGCGGGGCGGGGGAGACTCTCTTTAATCGAAGGATGCTAGTAGAATTTAAATTGTGTTTCCTTGGAAATGATTAGGATGGTCTTGAGCAAATCAAGACAAAACAGACAAACTTTTTCCCAGTATTTTAAAAAAAAAGAAAGAAAGTTATGGAGAAGAGGCTTGGAAGAGCCACGACGAGAAACCACAGAGAAGCAGAGCAGGGATAGCCTAACAGATTGTTTGTTTGCGTATCGTATGGTAAACGCTGCTGCTTAGCTTGAGCAAAACAAACAAAGGGAGGGGGGGAAGAAGGAATCATAATCATCATAAAAGCTGGGAAGTGTCTGCCAGCACAGGGGAAGGAGGGAGGGAAGGAGGGAGGGGCGGTCTCTGATTTCCAAAAAGGAAACGAACTCGGGATCTTTGTTGGAAAACTTTCCCGGGGACCAATCAGGAGCACGCAGGGTGCGGGCACACCAAATTAGGTAAGTGAAGGCTGCCAAAAGGGGTGGGATGGAGTGGGGTGGGGTGGGGGGGACAGGGAAGGAAAGCTGATCGCATGAGAACAGTTTCCTAGCACAACCAGGAGGGGGAGGAACCCGAAGAGAGAAAGGTTTTTTTTTCTCTCTCTCGCCTTCTGGCTGGGATGGTTGGCATTCCTCAAAACGAGCCTGCAAAGTTTTGCCAGACACACACACACACACACACACACACACACACACAGAGAGAGAGAGAGAGAGAGAGAGAGAGAGAGAGAGAGAGAAATATGCCTGGTGTCATGGCAGACTTGAGTAACAAAGCCTCTTGGACCAACCGGATCCTCCCCTAGCCCGTTTGCATAAAAAACGAGAGGTCTGGTGTGTTAAGATAGAGTGCCTTGGAATATGGAGGCTCTGTTTGGCACCAGCTTCCCCCTTGCAGGGCTGCGGGGGGGGGGGATAAATCCCAGCTGGCTGCAGTCAAGGAAGTAAAAGTGAATGAAAGGAGAAGTAATGAAGGATGCAGGGAAGGAGAAAACCCAGAGGGCTCCTTTTTCAGCCCGTTCAGCGGAAGTGAAAAGTATTGAGTGACTTTATAGGACGAGGGCAGTGTCCAAGCTTAAACTTTTCCTTCTTTGGGAGGGAGGAAAAAAGATTTTTTTAAAGGGGGGGGGGAGAAAGGAAAGGTGAGGGGAAGGAAGGAAGGGTTAAGAAGGAAAGAAGTAGAGGAGTAGAGAAGAACGAAAGGAGAGAGGGAGAGGAAGAGAGAAAAGAAAAGAAGGGACGAAGGTAGTGGAGGGGTAGAGAGAAAGGAAAGAAGGTTAAGAGGGGAAGAAGTGGAGAGGGAGGGAGGGAGGGAGGGAAGGAAGGAAGGAAGGAAAAAAAGAGAGAAGAATGGAAGGGGAAAGTGAAATTTTGTATTAAGACTCAGTATGAGACCATAGGATAGTGAAGGGGGCTGCTCTGCCCCCACTTCCACCTTAACTCTTTTGCTCAAAAGGATGCTCAGGGGTCAATCCCAGGCAGCCATCAAAAGACCCCTCCCCACTTTTTCATTTCCATGACAAAGTGCATTTCAAAACCCCAGCAAGGTGGGGGGGGGGGCTTAGCTGCTGCCAGTTTGGACCACCCCTTTTCCTCCTTGCTGCGTCCCACCCAGACCCAAAAAGAGAGGAAGGATGCTGCTCGATCAGGTGAGGCCACCTGCTTGAGTGACGCAGGTAAGAAAAGTCTGAAACCTGTAATTCCAGCCCATCTAACAGAGCATCAAGTGGAACCAAGCTGATGCAGCCAGATGTGGTCCTCTCTCAGCCTCTAGAGCAGGGGCCTTCAAACCTTGGCAACTTTAAGACTAGTGGACTTCAACTCCCAGAATTCCTCACCCGCATAGCTGGCTGAGGGATTCTGGGAGCTGAAGTCCACAAGTCTTAAAGTTGCCAAGGTTGAAGACCTGGCTGAGGGATTCTGGGAGTTGAAGTCCACAAGTCTTCAAGTTGCCACGGTTGGAGACCTCTACTCTAGCAGGTCTCCAGCATCTCCAGTTCAGAGGAGACTTCACACTTCTCAGGACCCTTGGACTCTGCGATGGAGATCTTGGGTCTGTCCCTCCACCAGCTTGGGAAATGACTCGTTTCCCATCCAGACCAGCAAGCTGAAGCCTGCCTGTGTCAACACTGGCTCCAGGGCGTGTCAAACTCAACGTATCAGTCTGGGGCACGTGATTTTTTTTGCTTCCTTAAAAAAAATGAAGTCACCACAGAAAGAAAAAGACACCCATCACCTTCCCCCTTCAGCGCCATAGTTCCAGCCAGGACCTCTGACAAAGCGTGGCAGAAAATAACTCAGGACTTCATAGCTTCAAGTTTCCCATGAGCTTTGACCCAAGTTGTACAAGATCATCACCATCACCATCATCACCATCATCATCATTTTATAGGACACCTTTCTGATTTTTATAAACAACTCAAGGCAGCAATACTCCTTCCTCGTCCTCTTTTTCCCACAAACGACAACCCCCTGAGGTGGGTTGGGTTGAGAGAGGGGAACTGGCTTAAAGTCACCAACCAAGCTGTCATGCGGTGGGACTGGAATGCCCTGTCTCCTGGAAACGGACCCAAAAATCATCCAGTTGGATTTCATGCCAAAGGCGGGACTAGAACCCACAGTGTCCTGATGATTGGCCTACATCACTTAGCAGAATAGAATAGCAATACAGAATAGAATAGAATAGAATGGAATGGAATAGAGCTGGAAGGGACCTTGGAGGTCTTCTAGTCCAGCCCCCTGCTGAAGCAGGAGAACCTATAACATCTCAGACAAGTGACTGTCTAGCCTCTTCTTAAAAATCTCCAGTGATGGAGTGTCCACGATTTCTGAAGGCAAAGCTGTTCCACTGGTTAATTGTCCTCACTGTCAGGAAGTTTCTCCTTAATTCCAGGTTGCTTCTCTCTTTGTTCAGTTTCCAACTATTGTTTCTTGTCCTGCCCCCTGGTACTTTGGTGAATAAAGTGACCCCCCTTGTCTTTGTGGCAGCCCGTCAAATACTGGAACACTGCTATCATGTCTCCTTTATTTCTTTTCTTTAGACTAGCCAAACCCAAGTCCCTCAGCCATTCTTCACATGTTTTAGCCTCCAGGCCTTTGATCATCTTACTTGCTCTTCTCTGAATTTTTTTTCCCAAACTCTCAACATCTTTTCTGTGACCTGGTGACCATAATTGGCTGCAGTATTCCAGATGTAGTCTTACTAGGGCTTTGTAAAGCGGTAAGAAGAAAAACAGTAGTATTTAAAAACAAACAAACAAACAAACAAAAAAACCAAGGAGCTCACTTAACAACAAAAATCTGGGTTTCCATTGTGGCTCTAAGACAAGGACTACCTTGTATAAGAGGAGAAATGAGAATTTTGGGAAAAGAAGCGAAGTGGCGTTTTGTTGACACTGGGCTGGCCCCACCTGTGCTGGAGAACCACACCCCCTTACTTACCTGATGGTCCCAGTGGGAGAAGGCAGGGGGCTGACCAGGCTCCGAAGATCCGGCTCCGGAATGTGGATCTTAAGCGGCGATATCTGGGGGTAGAGTGGCCGGAGTGGAGGAGATGCTGTGTCCTCTCTCGCTTCCTCTCTATGGTAGAGTGACGTGAACTGGATTTTGATGACTGTGCTTGGAAACCGAATGATACACCTGAGGGAGGGAGGGGAAAAAAAAAACACATGGGTACAACTGAATGTGTGAAACATCAACCGGAGTTAAACATCAGGCACTGATTTAAAGCAAGGTCCCCAACCCCCAATCTGTGGACCGGTACCAGGCTGCGACACACCAGCAACCGGTCCACACAAACAAGCAAAGTCCCATCTGTGGAATGCAGGCAGCACACAAAATCACGCACTCTCCGGTCTGTGGAAAAACCTTTCTCCATGGAACCGGTCCCTGGTGCCCAAAAGGTTGGGGACCTCTGGTTTAAAGAATGCAGAATTGGAGGGTCTTGATGTAGAATCAGACCTTGGGTCCCAAACCGTAGCCTGAAACTGACACCTCCATCAATGGGAGTTTAGCTAACAACTAGTATAGGTCAGGAGTAGGCAACCCTGGCTCTTTTATGACTTGTGGACTTCAACTCCCAGAATTCCTGAGCCAGCATGGCTCAGCTGGAAACCTCTCCCTTTCCCCTCAGTGTGGCTGGCTCAGGAATTCTGGGAGTTGAAGTCCACGAGTCATGAAGGGGCCATCGTTCCCTCATCCTGGCCCAGGAATTCTGAAAGTTGAAATCCACCTGTCATAAAAGAGCCAAGGTTGCCTACCTCTGGCCTAGGCTGCTTTGTGACTCGTAGACTTCAACTCCCAGAATTCCTGAACCAGCATGTCTCAGCTTAGAAACTCTCCCTTTCCCCTCAGCATGGCTGGCTCAGGAATTCTGGGAGTTGAAGTCCACGAGTCATAAAAGAGCCAAGGTTTCCTTCCCCTGGTATAGGTAATCCTTGACTTATGATGGCAACCGTGCCCAAAATTCACGTTGTTAAGCAAGGCGGTTTAAGTGAGTGTTGGTCAAGTGATCAAAATTCTGATGGCTTAGCAACTGGCAGGTACTTAAGACGGTTGCAATATCCCAGGATCATGTGATTCCCTTTTGCGACCTTCTGACAAGCAAAAGTCATAAGGGAAGCCAGCTTCATCTAACAACCGTGTCATTAATTCAAGAACTGCGATGATTCACAGTTAACAATTGTGGCAAGAAAAGTCATAATAGGGGGGCAAGGCTCACTTAACGAATGCCTCACTTAGCAACATAAAGTTTGGGCTCCGTTGTGACAGTACGTCAAGGGCTGCCCCTACTGCAATTCTTTTGTGACTTCTTTTGAAAACTCAAGCTACCCACCCTGGGAATGTATGCAAAGCCCAAACAAGGAAGGACGAAGCAGAAGAAATACAGTAGTATTTTTTTTTTAAAAAAAACCAAAGAGCAGGAAGTATAAAAGACAGCAATGTTTTTCTTTACTTAAGGGAGCCACCATAAAAAAAAAAAAAGAGAGGAAAAGGAGAATAAAAAAAAAATAAAAATAAAACCCCTGAAAGGAATCTGTAAAAAAGAGCTGCTTTGGGGTTGATCCCTCTGTATTTTGCTTCCCCCCCCCCCCTCCGTTTTTTACAACTACAGCTCCCTGGACTGCAGGAACTATAAGCAAGCCCCAATAAAGAGGACTTCCATAAATCACAGCCAAACTGTAAATTCTACTGACATCTTAACATTACTGTTGCTTGGAAATATGTGCGTTGGAAAGCTTTGTTTACACTTAGGGATTTCCGTGGCGCTTGCAGCAATATTATCTCCAGGGCATAAGCCTGAAGTCAGGCAAACATTTGGCATTTTTGCCTACCTGTTCAAATGGAAGGGGTCCTTGGTGCTCTCCGAGCTTGGATGTTTTCTTGCAGATGTTTCATTACTCAAACTGGGTAACATCACCCAATGGCACTGATAATGTTACCCAGTTAGATCATGAAATGTCTGGAAGGAAACAACCAAGACAGAGAGCACCAAGGACCCCTCAGTTCTTCTCCTCCTCCTCCTCCTCCTCCTCCTCCTCTTCCCCTCCACAAACCCCTCTCCCTTCTAGCACTGATAATGTTACCCAGTTGGGTCATGAAATGTCTGCAAGGAAACAATCGTGCACAGAGAACACCAAGTACCCCTTAGTCCTCCTCTCCCCCTGTTCAATTTTACAAACCCCAACGGTCGTGAGTGTGAAAAGGGGTCATAAGTCACTCTTCCCAGTGCCTTTGTAACTGAACGGTCATTAAATGAACTGTTGTAACTGGAGGACTTACATGTACTCCACCCTTTCCAAGCACAAACGCTTCTTACTAATCTATTTCTTTTAGTTGTGATTGAAAAAGAACTCTTTTTTCAAAGCCCACTTTTTTTTCTTCTTTTAAACAAAATGAATTTACATGGGCGAAATTTTCATTCCCCATAGGCATCCACGGGAAGTTTTCTGAGCATGCCTTGATATCAAAGAACCTCACCGTATCTCCCGTAGAATAATGAGAGTTATTTGCAGCCTTGATAATAGCACAAGACATCTGGACACATTTAACAGCTCCGAGCTAGATTCGTCTCATCAGCGCAGGAAGGAAAATAAAACGACAACAAAACAAAATGCAATTGCTGTTTATTTTTCGCATTCCAGTTGCAATATTCTAGCCAATTTGGGGGGGGGGAGAAATTACATTTGTTCTTGGCCTCAAACGAAGCACTAAAAGCTTTTTAGCTGGAAGCAACGGTCCCAAATGGTAAAGTTCCCTTCCAGACCGTATTTGTAGCTGGACCATCATGTTAGCAAACAGCCGATGCGCGCATAGTAAGATCTGCTCCTTGTCAGCTAGGATCTGAACTATTTAAATAGCTTAATGTACAGACGTGGCTTCACACTCTTTCTTGGAATCGGTTCTGAAGATCCATGTTTGTGATTCTCCTCGCGATGCTTTCTTCCGAAGACTTGAATATGTGGACCTGGGGTTGTTTACATCAGTTGTGTGTATCCAAACATTCTTTTTTGTTGACCAACTTCCATGCTCTGGTCTTTAGGACAAGGATGTCTCTTTGTGTTGCCCAGCAAAAAAGTGAAGTACATATTGGTGTCTCGTCTTCTGCCAGAGTGGAGAAAGGCCTCCATTCCAGACTGGATTAGAGATCAGAAGACAGCAACTCGCCCATCTTAGGAAAAATAGGACATTTTTCCTGGCTAGGCTGAGCTTCAAGTGCCATGCACACATAAAAGGATCTTGTCTGTGGGATCCTCGTTGCTCTCTGAGCTTGGCGGTTTTCTTGCAGCCGTTTCATGACCCAACTGGGAACCATCATCAGTGCTAGAAGGGAGTGGAGTTTGTGGGATGGAAGAGGAGGAGGACTGTGGGATCCTTGGGGCTCTCTGAGCTTGGTGGTTTCCTAGCAGACAGTTCATGACCCAACTCGGTAACGTCATCAGCGCTAGAAGAGAAAGGGGTTTGTGGGATGGAGGAGGAGGACTGTGGGGTCCTTGGTGCTCTCTGAGCTTGTTTTCTTGCAGATGTTTCATTACCCAGCTAGATAACATTATCAGTGCTAGAAGAGAAAGGGATTTCTGGAAAGGAGGAGGAGGAGGAGGAAGACTGTGGGGTCTTTGGTGCTCTCTGAGCTTGGTTGTTTCCATGCAGACATTTTATGACCCAATCAGGTATCACCATCAGCGCTAGAAGGGACTGGCATTTGCAGAATGAAGGAGGAGGAAGAGGAGGAGGAGGAGGAGAAGAAGCAGAAGAAGCAGAAGGAGGAGGAGGAAGACTATGGGGTCTTTGGTGCTCTCTGAGCTTGGTTGTTTCCTTGCAGACATTTAATGACCCAGCTAGGTAACACCATCAGTGCTAGAAGGGACTGACATTTGCAGAGAGGAGGAGGGGATCCATTGCAATTTTGGCTGTTATCTGTACTTTGACAGCCCTGAACAGGATGGAGCTAATGCAGGGGCTGGAAGACTATCAAACAGGGCTCCCCATAAGATTGATTAAAGGATCTTTTCTAAGTCCTTGACTTACAACCATTCATTTAGCGACCGTTCAAAGTTACAACAGCACTGAAAAAATTGACCTAGAGCCGTTTTTCCACACTCAACGACCGTCGCAACAGCTTCAGGGTCACGTGATCAAAATTCGGCCGCTTGGCAACTGACTCATATTTATGGCGGTCGCAGCGTCTCGGTGTGTGTGTGTGTCAGGTGATCCCCTTTTGTGACCTTATGACAAGCAAAGTCAATGGGGGAAGTCAGATCCCACTTAACGACCGTGTAACTAGCTTAACAACTTCAACATTTACTTAATAGCTATAGCACAAAAGGTCATAAAATGGGGCAAAACTCAACTTAACTGCTGTCTCGCTTAGTAACAGAAATTTTGGGCTCCACTGTGGTCATAAGTCAAGGCTACCTGTACAGACCACATTCTCAGATCATGAAGTAGAGGAGAGAAGCTTAAATGGGCAATAAAAGGAGGTTGGGAAAAGCTGCCGTTCCACATTTGGCTATGGAAATATATTTGGCGCTGCTCCATTTGCACCCCCAGCGCATCCATTTTTTTTTTAAGCAGCCTTGGACTCTGGGAAGAAAAATATTTAATAACCCCCCTTTTTCTTGAAATAGAGCCTGCACAGACACCCGTTCCAATTCCACCCCATTGTTTAAGCGAACAAGTCATAACAACGCTGCTTGGCCAACGTTTTTCCTCCCAAAGTGAACATCAGCATTAAGAAATACAAGACGTTGTTTTAAAAAGGAGGGGGAAAAAAGAAAAAAAGGTGGGGGGAACCCAACTGTGCTTGCCAAAAAGGGGGTTAAAAGAAACCTTCTGTTTTTTTCTCTACAACTTCAGCTGCAAAACGCTAGACGGGCGAGACAAATAAGCTACGATTCGTGGTTCTGGATGGTGGAGCCTGACCTTCTCCCAACTTATCAACAGAATAACAAGAGCTGGAAGGGACCTTGGAGGTCTTCTAGTCCAACCCCCTGCTCAAGCAGAAAATCCTGGTTCAGAATAACAGAATAATGGAAGGGACCTTGGAGGTCTTCTAGTCCAACCCCCTCAAACAGAAAACCCTATACTATTTCAAACAAACATTCAACATTCAAACCAGCTTCTCCTTGCTTTGCAGGACG